TAAAAGACTGCGTTTTTTCAGTGTTTTTACCAAACAGGAGTATTTCATCCGCGTATTTTAGTCGATAGATGGACCTCCTGTATAGAAATCAATTCCCGAAAATTCAGTCGACGAGTAAGTTATTTCCACCAGTAGGTCTACGATGAAGATGAACAAAAATGGAGATAGTGGACAGTCTTGCCGGACATCACTTGAGGTTGCAAAATCAGATGACAGTCCGCGGTAAGCTCTGGCTCCACTGGTAGTGTTGGAGTAAGGAGCCTTCACAAGGTTTATGTACTTCTGAGGTACACCTTCCAATGACAGACAGTGCCACAGAACCTCTCGGTCTACCGAGTCAAATGCTGCCTTTAAGTTAAGGAAAGCCATCATTGTCGGACGCCGATAAGCATGCCTGTGTTCTAAGGTCTGTCGAATGGTGAATATGTGGTCTATGCAGCCACGACCAGGTCTGAAGCCAACCTGATTTCCTTGTGTTTGAAGTTCACGAGTCTTTGTTAGGCGTCCGATAATTATCGAGGCTAGTATTTTAAATGCTATATTAGTCAAACTAATCCCTCTATGGTTGTCACAGGATGATTTTGACCCCTTCTGATATATTGGGACGAATAGTGATTGCTACCAGTCAGATGGGATTACGTCCAACTCCCAGATTTTAGTTAAAATATTAACCAACCTAATTGCTAAAATTGAACCACCATCCTTAAAGACTTCTGGAACCAATCCATCTGGACCAGCTGCTCTTCCTCGTCCTATTTTAGCTATGGCTTTTTGAACTTCAATCAGAGGCGGGAGACCTACTCCAATATTCCATTTAAGCTGTTTGGGAATGATGGGTAGCTGTAGAGTAGCTAAAGGTCAGCTTCTTAAAGTGTTCCGCTCATCGTTCTAAACGTCTGGACTGGGAGCAGATAAGAGTGCCGTCTTTTCACGAAATAGTCTCACTTATTAATTTCAGTTTCTTTTATTAATCTGTAGAGCTGTCTTACGTTACCTACAGCCGCCACCTTTTCCATCTCTTTTGCTTTCGTTGCCCACCACTGCTCACGGTCGTTCCTTAGGCTTTTGCTTAACCTAGATCTGATTTGTTTTCGCTCTTCATCGTGTTCGGAGCCTGATGGGATGAGTTTACGAGAGTTAATCAGTGCAATAGACTTGGCAGAAATCCACTAGTTTTTCGTGACCCTTTGGTTCAAATCACTGATAGATGTCGCCGCTGTCTCTACAGCTGTTTATTTATCTCTCCAAGCAACATCTGGGTCAGCCTCATTTTCAGAACTGCCTAGGTGTGACCTCAGTTGTTCCTGGAATCTACTTTTGCGTTTCTGAGCTCTAGTGGGTCTTCCTAATGTGGTTTTTCTGTATCCAGTGAGGCGCAAGCAAATGCGTGCTCGTATTAGAGCATGATCAGGTTCTAAACATGTACTCCAGAACGAGCTGCAGTCTTTTACCGAGCTTCTCCAACGATGACTGATGGCAATATGGTCTAGTTGAGTCCACCGTTGGTTTGGTGCAGGGGGTCGCCATGTTAGACGATGTCTCTGCTTATGCTTAAAATTAGTGTTTGCTAAAAATAAACCATTGTCTGAGCACAATTGAGGCAGATGATCACCATTATCCGTTCGCTGAATCGGAATACCAAAACACCTACCTAAATGTCTCTGTTTGGTTTAAGCTACCTACTTAGGTATTAAAGTCACCTACTACGAGTACTATGTCTGAGTGTTTAGCTTTTTGAAGTTCAGAAAGTTTTCTGTAAAAATCAGTCCACCAGAACTAGACGTCGGGTCACCAGGTAACCGGAAGGTATTTCTCGTCAGCTCCCAGTTTTGGCGAGGTAAGGTCAAGTGAGTGATCACACCAGGATCTTGTATGCGTGTTTTGGAGACACAGCATACATCAATGGTACGAGATTCTATGGTTTTAGCCAAGGAAGCCTGCTGACCGATTTGACATAGTGTGCGTACGTTGAAGGCTTCAATGTGTAGTTTGGAGCGAGGTTTCAGTAGACCTGGGACGGTGTTTTGAGCACTAGAATCGTTGGCTATGATGACACTTAAGGGGGAAGCCGAAAAAGGAAGTTTAGAGGTGAAAGTTGATGTAGGAGGAATAATAGGAAGTGAAGACGGAGGTTGATTATGAATACAGTGGTCTTGAGTGCTGTTAGAGGTAGGAGGGCGGTTATCACTTCCCGGTTGCCCACACCGTGGAAGGGTTCTTCTAGAGGTACCTGAAAAGGAAATTGTGTTAGGGGTGGTCTTGGTGACAAGAGAGCGTGACCGCAGTGCCCAAGAGACAACTGCTTGAGGCCGGCCATACGCAACTTTTTTGTAATTTTCGTGCTGGCTCCATACTTGTTGAAACCTTACCACTGGAGACGGAAATCCATAAGATAGGGTGAGATGTGTGCTTTTAGGGTCGACACTTTCTTACCCTACCCTTCCTTGTAAGAAGGCAGCATCGCTGTTATTTTATGAATAATAAAGAATACTGGTGGTAGTATTTTGTTTCTTTTGAAGCATTGGTTTAACTGTTACGAGACCTTGTAAAACCTGTATACTCATCGCCAGAAAAATTATGGGATCAACACCAAGTTCTTGTATTAGTTTTGAGTTTTCTGTATAGCTAAATCAGCTATACTATCATTATGGTATATTTTCTAACAGTCTTTAGCTTCTGTTAGTAACAATTTTAACTGTTAATAGTTGGTAAGTAGTCTCAAAGTATTAAATCGTAAATATATATAAAGTAGCCTTCTAACAGCAAAGGTCATCACATGAAATTATGACGTGGTGGGATAGTTGCACTTTGAATATTTGAGTAGTTAATTTAAATATGCCCATTAAATCATAAAACAATTTATTCGAGGAAGGGATCCTTTTCAATTAGTTCATTTTTAAAGCCGTATAATCGTACCGAGATGTGATAAGTTGTAGGTCGACGAATAATTGTGTATTTTAGAACTTGATTAACTTCATCAAGTATGAGAATTATATAATTAATATGGTGTAAGGTTTAACTACGAGTACCATCAAGCTAAAATAAGGGACTTAGTTAAATAAACGGACTAAAACTGCACAACTTGGGTTTTAAGTGATGGATAGCCAAAGCTTTCGCATCATAAATTGCGTTCAGCGATACTTCTCTTGGTATCTATAACTGGATTTTGTAAATGATGTCGAACGAATCGGAGAATAAATGTCCTGTGTTTAACACATGCTTCAAAATTGATGATATAATTGAGTTATGTACACATGTTTTGATCTATGCTAGTAGATGCCTCAGAATGCAACAAAAAAAGCAGCCTCGACGAACGACTTCATTACTAAACTTAACAAGTGAACTGGTACACACACATTAAATTGATCAGTTTCGGTACTTTATCTTTCACAAGAGGACACATAAAAGGAGAAATACATTGGTTTGTACTCTATGTTAGATTTCGTCCTAATTTTTCCCTCCAAACGGCTTTTCAGCATATCACCAACAATATCTCCCTTAAACTAGATTTAAAAAGATTGTCTTTTGAACGATAGATTTAATTTGTGAAAGTCTTTTCTACTTCATTAAGCGATAGTAAAATTCATAAATGCATTGATTTTTAATATGTTATGATAGATTTCAGTGTTCTACCGCTGTTCTCTAAAGTTCAGAAACTCAACGAAACTGCTAAACCATGTTAGTAATATATCTTGTTACATTTTATAGTTCAGAAGTCCTGTTTTGGATTTGCATTTTTACAATGTTTCAGTTTGTTCTCTAATAATTCTTAATTATTAGTCTCAGTAAGAGTTGCTTACCAGCTATTTTATCATGGCTATTCACGTTTATTTATTTATTTAAACACGTAGACATTGGTACAAGGAGGCACCAAATATACATGTGCCACTTAAGTCATTCGACTCGTGTGAGGGCTGGAATACCACCCTGGCCCCCAAACCGAAGCAGGTGGTCTTCTTGGGAGGCCACACCCGGAGCCTTCGACCTGAAGGTCTAATCCATAAGGCAGTGGAGCAGCGTAAGGAGTTGCAGGCCCATAGCTGGTGACCAATAATTGGTTCATACGCCACTTGTTTCCTCAGGATCCTGGAGCCCATGTGCACCATTGGTTTGGAATCAGGGTTTTCCAATTCCCTTAGGTGGATCCTCCGTATACACCAACCCGGTTAAAACGCCGGACATTCTCTTTTCATCCTCTCAATTTCGTAAATGACACCCCCGCCACGAGAAGGCAGTGAACAGGACTTCCCTGACAGTGGCTGTATTTCGAGAGGGAGAGCTAACTCTCCTCACCCTCGGCCGTACCAGGGCATTTGGAGGCACTATTCACGTAATTGGCTACGTTGTTTAAATAGTAAAAGAAACTGCTTCGTATCCTTTGATTTTTGCGATTAAAGTTTTCTAGGAAACTCTCGAAAATATTGAATCGAAATTCACTGTCAGATAGTATTTTAAGTAGTTCTCGCAGTTGTGGGAAGATCAAACTAAATCTTATTATGTTTTATGATTGTGATATCACGTTTTGCTATCATGAATATGGTACGAAAAGCTAGTTACTCTATATCTTTTATATTTTCATTCCTACTAGTTATCAACTTCAAGATGTTCCACTCGAATTAGTTTTATTCCTTACAGAACATGGCATTTATTGTCGAGAAACTAAAGCGTCTGAAACATTTATGAATACTGATGGATATATTCTTTTGAGAATTATTTTCACTATATTTGATAATAATTCACCTTTCTCGTCTTAAAAGCCCATTAAATGTTTATGCTACCTAGTTTTACTAGGTATAGAGAAGAAAAATCATTTTCATGGGTTACCACTAAGTAACCAGTTATTTATTTATAAAACCTGTTGTCACAGATCTATTTGATGCGAATTGGTATCTTAATTATCACTAAGAATTATTTGGAAGTAGTAGTACGGCCAAATTGTCCTTATTTTTCGCGAAAACTATGATTCTATTGGTCCTAATCCATTTTTTATGTTTTTAGTTATGCCTACAGACCAAGTTTATCGAAAATCAGGAAGTCCACAAGCTTCTACCGAGGTTTCTTCTTTGCAACTAAATCGGACTAAAAACAAAGAAGGTAAATCAATCACTGTTATTAACACCTCTTAATGTTTTCAAGCACTTGAGAAAAGCCTTAAGTGCAGACGTTCTGTAAAGGAGTTAGTCAATCAAGGGATATTACTAAATCGTATATCAAATTTTAATCTAACGTTTCTTTCATTATAGCTTCTATTTCACACCCTGATAAGGTTCGCCAATTACAAAAAGCTAAGGTTTCGTTTACAATCTTTCTAATACGTTTTTGTTTCCTTAGACTAGTGATTTATTGAAACGTAAAATTGGACAACGGCCGGACAGACAGTATCTTATCAGCCATCATATCTTAAGGGGTAATTTTTCTCCAGTAATAATTTATGATTTTAGACGATAAGCCGAGGACTTCACCTTTCGTCCTTGAGCAATGTTACAATTTAGAAAAGTCTCAGCTAAAGGAGACATTAGCCGCGAAGCTTATTTCCAGACCTGGTTCATTGGAGTTAGTCGAGAAAGGAGTTCTGCAGGTAAATCAGTGTATTCATAAGGAATTATTTTTGTATTTGTTCACATGAATTCAGGTACTCGACGCCGTTTTACTATTATTTTAATGTATTAATTATATTCGTTATTTATTTTTACGTGACATGACACTGTTGAAAAAACACCGATATTATCTTTTATGAATGAATAATACCTAACTTTATAGTGTCTACTGTTCGCAGTACATTTTGCTTTATAACTTAAGGATAAGTTCAATCCATTTTTATCTCTTCTTACACCGTGAACACTGTTCTAGTTTTTCCGATCGCAACTATGGTTGATTACTTATGTGATTTAAAGACGCATAAATTGATGTGTAAATTCAATTGTGTAAAAAAGACTAATATTCAGCGACTAGTAAATAAATTCATCTAGATACAAACTAAGTTGAGCTAAATCGAATGATACCTCCAGTTTGACTTTAAATATCGTATACCTAAATAACACTAAACCTGATTTTCTAATGGGTGACAATAAATCTTATCACCTAGCTCTACAAATCTAATTCAGAATCATTCATAGGGTTACTAGTTGTACAAACTGTTTGTGGGTGAATAAGTGCCCTGCTTCCCAAATTAAAGTACTTATAGAAGTATGGTAAACATAATTATTCATAAAGATAAGGTTATTTATTTTAGGTATTTGATAAAATATTAACATTGTATGTTGTATCTTTTCCTTATTATTATGTTATCAGTTGTTTTAAATATATTCTCCCAACCGTAGGTTGATCCCGGTGTTGATTCACTCATCAAACAAGGTTCTATCCAATATCCTAGGGTCGAGTCCGTTTCATTGGAAAGGATTTCATGTGAACGACTACAACCTATTCAAGAATTGATCACTATCCCACCACCTCCGCCACTTTCATCAACTACAAAGGCACACTGTACAAATTCCGGCCGTGTTGTTTCTGGAAGAAGTCGTTTAATTAATTCGAATAAAACATCCACAAGTCGGGCAATTCGAGACGACACTGTTGTTTCAAAATTAGGTTCATTGGTTTTTCATCAGTATTGTCCAGACTCATCGAGTTCATCTTCTCCAAGCCTAGCTAATGTCTCATCCTTTCAACAAAAACAACGAGTTCGGGAATTACAACAGGTTGAAATGTTACGTCTCCAAGATACCGCACGTGCTCATCGTCTAGTCGAACAAGAATTGTGTGAGCGCGTAAGTACATGTAAAAAGCCCCTACATGAAGACACATCCTTCATGGATCTGACTCCTAACACATTTAATAATCAAATGAATAGTCAACTAGCATTATCCTGCACTTCCAGTTCAATGTCGTTGCAAGTCTCTCCAAACCCTTCAAACTCAATAGTTTGTTCTAAGAATCAGATTGGTTTAAGTAACCAACGGACTGGTTCTTCAAAGACGTTACCGTTGGAATCTAATTTTAACTTACCCAGTCTTGCTCATCTTACTCTCACTCAACTTAAAGGGGAATGCAAGGACAGAAATTTACCTCGTGCTGGTTCTAAAATGCAATTAATGCGCCTGTTAAATCCATATCGCCGTGAAATATTGGTAAAATATTTTCCTAATTCTGTAATGAAACAAAGTGAAGAAATCGAATTGGGGATAAATGGACCTCTTCAGTTTTATCATAATGCAAATCAAACACAGTCTTTCGTAAAACGTCAGGACCAACATCAAAAACTTTTGGTGAATTCTGAGCAACCTATGATGGATATGGATGTCAACTTAAAAGATTTTGACTCATCACTACTATCCCAAACTAAACCTGTGAATTTATGCACTACAGTATTTTCTTCAGGATCTACAATGCCAAAAGATCTACAAGTATACTCTGATGTTGTTATGAGACCAGACGGTTCCAATGTGTTATTTGCTCAACCTTGTGTCTCATTAAGGCATTCTGTTTCAGCACCATTCTTTGCGGAAGTTTCGTCTAACTCGTCCTCAGGTGGGTTTACTTTTCCCACTGTAGAGTAAAAAATCTGAAGGTTATTTGTAATGTACCAAAATTACTATCCAGAATACCTTAGGAATTATAATAACTTCAATAGTGATATTTTATACCCTATATCTAGTCTTTGTAAACATGAAACCGTTTCACTAACGTGATGCGATTTAGTACTAATTTCTATGTTCATGCATCAGCTTTAACTCATGCTTATTTTAGTAGGAGAGCTAACACTATTACTCGACTGCTTAAAATTTATTAGAAAACATGGGATTCGAACCCATGGAGTTAATTGCTCGAGTCAGTTTGTTTCATTATTTGCATATCCTCCATTGCATTAACGCTAATGCTAAACTGTAAGGACATTAACTTGTAATATATCTATATAGAGAATATTAGAAGTTTGATATTTTCAAACTTTTTAAACTTTATATATCAATGTTGCCAAGTATATGCAACACAGATGTACACATTGAACATCAGTGGATTGAGCGTAATCTGGATCACTGATAAGTTATCACTCAATAAAAGAATGTGTTTCTCATAATTTGGGTCTCCGTATTTTTTCTTTAGACATTACCTTTACTTCATCTAGACTGGCTTTCTGAAGAGTTTTTTCTAAAATATCATTAATAGTCTTAAACAAGAAGAGATAAGACTAAATAACCGTATTTCAGACAAGTTCCTGTTTATAAAACCTGCTAGTATTTATAAGGTAGAAAAACAAACAAAATTTATTGTAATGCAGCAATTTACAGGTCCGAGTTATTCACATTTCGTTATCGACACAATTAAGGTAAATTGACAATAAAAGTAACTATTGGTATCAATACTATCAATAACAAGAAACCAAGAAATAATGCAACAGAAAACAATTCTATGAGAGGGGATAAATATCGATTAAGATATTCATTGGCTTCAGTAAAGAAATATGAATGTATCTGTAGCGTTGTGTTTAATTTGAAGTCGACCAACCAATAGCGTTTAATCGTATAGCGTTTTCAGAACTCTGACTCACTTTTTTCGAGCAGATTTGCGTAGAATGAATTCCCAGAAAGTGGCACCATTTAGCAAATTATAAATTAATATCTAGGAACAAAAGAATCGATGGACCGTGATGTGACTTGTTTTTAAAACCAGAATGAAATCTATCTTGTTTTCTGTTGACCTGTACCTGTGTATTGTTTAGGATGAAGTATATGGTCATTTAGTAGCTTGAACACCAAGGAAATTTCAGTTAACGGTTTGTATGTGTAAAATATTGACTTGTAGAAGGAAAATGATACATATAGGCACATATCCTCTCCCGTATGACGAATCCCATTTCTTCACCATTTAACTTTATAACTTTGTTAGATTTCAAGAGTTTTATTACGGGATTCTGTTTTTGTATGTAAGAACGTTGAATGTTTACAAGGAATATAAGACGATTGAGTTGTTGCAGAAGAGTAGTTAAGTCGGTTTACAATATGGTCCATCTAGTCCCACGACATATCAATAATTGTGAGTGGGACTCTGAGTTAAACACGATTTCAGTATATTAATTACCAAATATGTTTTTTTAATGCTAACGACATGATCACTTCTAGATTTTTCACCTTGGGATAGATTCTTTCCCTGTAAGGTCCTTCACTTAAATGTGTTTGAGTCACAAATACATCATGAAATAATTATCTAAAAATAATGAATGGAATGCCAATCGATAGATGAATGCAATGATATGATGTGGCTGAGTAATATCAACTTACGAGAACAAATTGTTGACTTAAACCCTCAGATGATTTAAAATCATAAATAAGACCACTGGCCGGGCGAATAAGTTTTTCATGTATTGAAATAACATGCTTATATATAAATTATTAGCAGAAAAATATGATAAAATGTCATAGGCGATTGAAGGAAATCAAGTCATAGGTCACTCATTCTCCGATCAATTAAGATCCAATTGTTGGGCCTGACTCTCTGGCGTCGTGTCAGGAATCCATTTTATTAGTATCATCTTTCACGTAGATCTATGAAATTAGGACTAAGGGTCCTGGTGCTTTTTTATATGAATATTCCATTATATATTTCGAACATCTAAATGAAATCTAATGGTGGAGTCAATTTCTCTCAGGTTTTGCATAATTTATGTGATTTGACGGCAGAAGATATCTTGGATAGTCAGTATGTCTCAATAATTTTTACCCATAGTTCGTAGATTCTTAAAAATTATCTTAAGTCAACGGATTCATCATAAAGTGATATAGCACTCTTGGACTATCATAACTTCTTAAAAAATAGGGAATTCTGCGATTCTGGTAAACAAAGCCGTTTCTGAATATCCATAGTTTCGTTCTTATTATGATAAATTATCTTCATCGCGGAAATTATTGAGACATTTTTATTCCAGCCAGTTTTTTCTTGATGTACGTATTAGTTTCAAAAGTATTTCTGTTGGCAGAATGAACTTAACCAGACGTATTCATGGATTTGGTTATTCAGTAAAGTTTAATCGTCTGTAATTATTGTGTGGAAAAACTCGAACTGAAATTTACTTTTTGATGGCTTTTGTCCCATATTAGTTGATGTATGGTTTTTGTTTAACCCTAAAATAGTTTTATTCGTTTTTTATCCACAATGGATTTTTTTTCCTTACAGTGTAACCGTGCTTTTATTATCTTTTAAAAATGTTTTCCTTATTCTATGATAGGACACACAAATCATTTTCAAATTCCTTCTACACAAGGTAATATATCTTCGACAACTCTAATACCGGTTACTTTCGTTAATGATAATACAATGAGTGAAACAGACCAAATTTCACAAATTCCTGTCTCAACATATGAATTACAGTTTGTTCAACCTACATCGAAACAATCATTTGTATGCATGACTCCAAATGTTCTTTCAGACAATCAAACATCATCCAATGGAAATCTTTTACATCATCATCCATTAACTAGTATTCCGTCATCGGAATCTGGTTATATTATCACTTCAAATCAACGTCTCCCATTACCCTTATCTATAGATAATAGCGTATCATCACCATACAGTGAATCACAGACGATGCATCATACTTCTGTAAATAACTCACTTGACAATCAATCATTTTCCGTATACTCACCAGTAGCAACATCAAATCCTACTGGTAGTGAAGGTGGCGGCGGTGGTTGTACTGGTTTTTCAACACCATCGACAACACTTCATCAAATTGAAGAGATGTGGTTAAGGATTCGTCAATTAAGACGTAATATTGAACAGGTAATGTTCGAAATGCAAGTACTTAACTCTGTTCTTTTTTCCCTCTTTCTACTAATTTGTCTATCGATGCATATATATATATATATGTTTGGGTTTTTAGGTAAGGTAAATGAACTTATTGACCTATTGAAAAGAGAAAGCATTCTTTCAACGATATCGCCTCAACAATAAACCTAATGCCTTGTTATTAAGTCCTTGTTATATACTACATACAATGAGATGATTAATAATAATTTTGATCCATATCGTAAAATAGTTGTTTTGGATGGAGTCGAATAATATTTTCATTGTATCGATGATATTTATATTAATGAATTGTACTAAATAGCCTTAAAGTAGTGAGATTTATGATATGGAGGTTGTATTATAGAGTAGGTTTTTAGTTGATTAATATAGACTGCGATTTCCCTCTCTGTTTTAGATCAGTCACTAGTAATGAGCATGATAAATGATAATATAAGTCATTAGTCAATGTACAAAATCATGTAATATGCTGTTTTGATATTTTACAACTTTTCAGTTTAAAACAGATGGGTAGATAACTGAATCATTAACTTCGATGATTGTGAATCGAGTATTAGTTGGACCGATTATTGTTAGTATGATCAGCTTCTGATTCAGCAGCTTCTCACGTTCAGTGGAAAGATAATCCAGACAAACTGATTCATAGCTTTCCCACCATGTGATACTCTCAGATGTTTCTAAAAGATGATGAGTTTCTCTTATCAAATAGCCTTGCGAAATAAATACTAGAAGTATCTTGCTTAATCTTGTATATATACTTCTATGCTGTTTCGAAATATGTGTTTTATTTAAGTTTATTTTTGTCCTGAATTCTACCGACCTGAATTAAGACAGGTTGGCTAGAGAATTATAGGCAGGAAGGAATGCAACAGTGGAGATTAAAAAAAAGAACTCAGGTCGTCAATATCGAACAGCCAACTGAGTTGAATATTTCAACATGTAAGGTGGTGGTTGGAGCTAGTCGATAGGGAACCCTAAACCCAGTCTTCGTGCTTTTTGGTACTCATAAAAAAGCTGTACATGTGATCTTGGATGAAATAATGCTCCCTGACGGATTCGATCATGTATCAACTACCTTTAAACATTACCTCACAGCTGAACATAATGCATGCGATGTTGAGTCGGTTCGACTAGTGGCTGCACTGCAATTTGACCGATTAGCACCAAGAAGGGGTTGAAATATATGACATTGATCACTACTCGATGGTCAGTCAACTGTAAATATTTCAACATGAACGGCAGAGACATTTCAATCGTCAAATAAGTTTGATTGAGATGTTTACCTATGGCCTTCAGAATCACACCCATCTAGCTTTATTGGTAGAGTTGCCAGTAGTATTTTTAAATTTATTAATTATTCAGATTGCGGACATACTTTTTAATGAGTGAGTTAAGCGTTGGGGTGACATTCAAAATGGTATTCATAAAACGGAATAATGCCTAGAAGACTAGGTTGTTAGTATTGATAAGTCTTGCTAATTGAACGCTATATTCGGTTCCTGAACTATTCTCGTAACCCCCAAGCTAAAACTACACAGCGGCCTGAACATGAGAGAAAAGGCGCAAAGTATGTGAGAAGCGCTTTACTCCAAAGGTTCATTTTAGTGCAGAAAATATAGGGTTTTATAGTATTTTAGATGTCCTTGGTTTCCCCAAAACTCTGGAATGCTACTAAACATAGCATTATAGCAATCAACCAATCAGTGACTCGACATGTGACTTTTCACTTTCTTGATGTTTCTGGCTAAACTACTGGACGCTGATTGGATAAAGTGCTTCTTAGTGTTTCCTGAGCCTTTTTTGTCTTTTGCGGGAAGTTTTCTGGATTACCCCAACAGGTATACAGTCTAAGGACCAGGAAACACATTTATTTGGTCATATTCTGGTGATGCTTCTTTGGTCGTTCAGTTCCAGGTCCCTCAGCCATAGATATCCATTAGAATACGAATTAACAAAACTTGGTAATTTTCAGTATGGGGTTGCGGAGATTGTTGAATTTCATCTAAATCGTCAACCGTTCTAATAAGTAGTCTAAGTTTGATGGGTTCATCATTTCAATGAGATTGTTAACTTATATCAAAGAAAAGATTGGTTAAGGCTTTCGAAGTTTTATGTATTTCACATGTCGACCAGTCAAGGAGATATAGAACTCAGTGAGGACAAATAATTTTAGGAAATGGGAGCAAAACAAATTAAAACTAGGAATTCACATATATAATTTGAATCATTTAGGTAGATTGTTGTTGAACATTCAACATTCCATAAAAAGGCTTTATTGATTAATCAGGAAACAGTTACTTTCACCCGAAAAATTACCTAAGTATAAATTCTCATAAGCAATTTAGCATCGTCAATGCTTTCGAAGTTTTCCGAACGTTCATTATTCATATGTGATTGAGAAATCATTCATCACAGTTTTATCTAATTTAGATAAAAATATATTTTAAAATTACTCAATCATCTATAAATAGTAACATCGAACTTGGCGTAGATATGCATCTATCCGAGTTGTCACATCACACATCAGCATAATATGAGAGGAGAAGTTAACAAAATGTATAGCGCAGAAGTAAAGGTAACAATAACTTTGTCTATGATATAGTTTAAAAAGAAACCGCTGTTCTATTTTCAAAAAAAGAATTAACAGATTTACTTCTTACGTACGAACAACGGTGTTGGAGTTTTTCTGATTATATTTACTGATCAGCGTTTTATGTATGAAAATGATTGATAGTATAGTACATTTTTAACTGATTCATCAATCAACATGTATATTCATTGCATTTAATGAATAAATTAGGTCATGTATCTAAATTAAGACACCAGCTTGTATTTATTTTTAAGTACTTTCCTCAAGACTTTTACGCACTTCAAAGATAATTCATTATCAGGAACTGATATCATCTAAAGAATCATTGGAAACCAGTGACCAAATAGATCTGTCGTTATAGTTCAGCATAGGACAGTAGTGGACACTAACAAACACGCCCAGCCACACTTATCTAGAAGTACAATGTTAAGTGGCCTGAGAGTTGGTCAAAATAAACTAAGAGTGAACGAATCAAGATATAACATCAATTTATGAAATCATTTGTTGCTGATCTGAACAATATCAAACTTCCTGCTTAGGTCTCTCGCATTAGTTACAGTCAATGCTTGAAAAAATCAAGTGGTATAGCACAAAATTGTTTACAATAGTACAACCGCAATTAGTTTATATGTTTCTCTAAATCTTGAGTTTACTGTCATCCTGGCTTCCCATTTTGGATTTCATTTGTTTCTTTTTAACTGAATTTCTCATGTTTAGATTTTTATTTTTCTTGATTCTGTTTTCCTTCTTATGTTTTTCCTCCTGTTGATTTCCTCTCGTTTTACTGATATGATGTATGATAACTTAGATTGATGCACACTCATGATAATGAATGTCTGACTGAGTTACGCACCCATGACTTCATACAAAATTGAACTCAAAGGCCTTCAGTTCTCGACTGTAGGAGATTTCCTAACGTGATTTATTTTCAATTTGTTTACTTAACATTTGGATGGTTTAAGTGTTTCTTGTTTCTGTCGTGTAAGGATGTAATTTCAGATTTTTTTCCAATGATTTTCACTGATTGTGTTTGCAATAATTATTGCGCATTAAACACTCACTTACCTTAATGCTTTTTTGTTTTTATTTCTAAAATATTTTAGACGAAAATTTCACAATATAGTTTAAATGAGTCTGAAACTTTGTCAGCTCCAGCAAATTTAGAATATTTACAACAAGAACACAATCGTCTAGCAGTACTTTGTCGTCTGCTCATTATTGAACGTTTAGATACGTTGGATGAAATAAGTGCAAATGGTACTAGATTGTAAGTTTTCACTTAATTGTTTGTAAATTGCGTTTCACCATACAAAATTACTGGAAATGTGACCCATTAATATTTAGCTGTTTACCTTTTTAAATATAACAAATTCCAATCCTATTTTCAACTAATACATTACAGGTCCGAAATTTGTTCTAATTACTTTAGTTTGACTGGTCAGGCAGTATTACGTGTAAAGAGTGTGGTGGCTGAAAACCGACTACATAAATCTGTACTTGTTGAATGAGTTACATGAATTACAACTTTTTCTGGACAGTTGAGTATTATGGATTGTACACGGTGTGTAGTTCAGTACACAAAATCTGTACAAAGTTGCTGAACTAAATCTGCAGTGTTTTCACTAAGAGAATAAACAGTTGTTTATTAAATCATTGCACAACACTTTTTGTTAAGTTTTTGTGATGCAAATACCTTAGTATTTCCGTTATGCTTGTTTGTTTTTTATATCGAATAAATATACCTAAAAATTCAGTGACTCAGTGGGTTTTTTTCATTATACCTAGAAGTATTGCATAATGTTTGTGAATGGTTGACATTTTAAGGTTTGTCTTTAAGGTGATATTTTCCGTCTCAAGTGTTTTAGTGTTCACTTTCACTTTTTATGTAGTGACATTGTGCGGCTAGTATCATAAATCTCAAATAAAAACCTCAGATGATAACCTAAGTTTTGCTGAATAGTTTTAGCTCAAATGGTATATGATATAAACATGAAATTTCCAGTCGTTCAGTCAATGGTTTAGGCTCATCCAATCTATTCTAGTTTGGGTGAGTTGGGTGGTATCGTTAGTCTTCATAGACTAACAACTTCGCTATGTTGTGAATTATACGTAATCTTGATCATTTATCGCATCGTTCGGTAGTGACGCGATTGATATATGGGTATAAACTATTGAGAAAACTTGTAGAAGAATAGATTTTCTTGATTTCTACTACATGCTAAGGGTATAATTAGGGATATGACAGAGGAGGAACTTGTTAAGTCATTTAGTGTTGAGGATTCCCTACTGTGCTAGTGCTGAATAAAGATAGTATTATTGTTGTATTCTTGTTATTAGTTAGCGTATGACACACAAAATTGCTAAGATGCATTTTTGGAGGTTAAGAAAGTCATTCAACCAATCAACTTCCTGAATACTCTTAAAACCAGTAGTTTCAATTAAATATCATAATTAAATTGAATGAGAGATTCTTGGCAAATCCAACATGCTGAAATAAGATTGAGGTTAAGTTTGGGAATCTTATAAAATTAACATCAGTTTGTAAAGTCACTCACTCACTTCTGGGTTATATTTGTATAAGAAGGTGTAGATTTGCTTCCTCTTTATGATAAGTCAGTGGTTGAAGACGTTAAGTGATATGGTCTGAAATGCCTCAGAATAACATAGATACTTTTATTATGTATCTCCTGAATTTTAGGGATTCCATTACTTTTCGTTTATTTTCCACTCTATTCAAATCCTTGTTGTTTACTTTAAAATCCTTCTATTTCTGTTGGATTCAGCATTGTCTATTAAAAATCGAAGTGTTGTCGTCTCCAAATAATTCTGTTCATTGGAGGAGTGACTGCGGTCTAAACATCCAACTTTCGGCCGGTATGTCACAGGGTCAAGTCCCACATCACCTAATTCGGTTTGGGTAACTGGGTAAATATCGCTAGTCCTCACACAAACGATGTGGTTCAAAGCTGAATACATAAATTCCTACTTGGTACATAAGCGGTTAGATTATATGAAAATATAGTTGTGTTAATTTTCGCCTATGACATTTTATCATATTATTTTTCTGTTAGTAATTTATGTATAAACATGTCATTTTATTACGTGAAAAAACACATTCATCTGGCTAGTGGTCTTGTTTTTGATTCTTAATCATTCGAGGGTTCAAATCAAGAATTCATTCATTTGAGCCACTATCGTTCGGAAAAATATATCATTGTATTCACGATAGGAATTCTGTTCATTGATTCTGACAATCGACAATTTGATCTCATGAATTATTTAAAAACGTCATTTATAACAGAAAGGGAGTTCAACTCCTGATTGAGACTCATTAAATTTTATCATTAAACGAGCTTCTGAGATTCAATGACCACTACATATCCTCTAGTGTGCAAAATAGGTTAATTTTATCTAGCACTGGTCATTATGTTCACATATTATAAAGTGTGGTTCGGAATTGCTTACTCAAACTTGTACTTAACTGCTTAGTTACTTTATATATATTCATTATCAAAAATCTGTTTCAGTTTGGGCGTCCGGGCAGTATCCCAGCCCTCACACAAACCGGACGATTTGTGTAGCGCATATATGTTTGGTGCTTCCTTGTACCAATGTTTATGTGTTTAAATAAATAAATTATCAAAAAAATTGTCTAAAGTATTATTTATTATAACCTGACATCATTAAGAATAATACGTTAAGTGTATGATCGATTTATATGTATACATTGCCAACATTAGGTATATATATTATATATATATATCGAAAGTTTGATTTCCAAGGTCGGTATATTTTCATATGTATATTTTTTCGTGTGAAAGTATTAAAAGGGAATCGATATACTTCACCGTTTATAATTAACTAGACAGGTATTTTTCTTAAAATAAGATGTATCATAAAGACGTTGACATGTTTAATTTTTATTTATAAAGTTTCATTTTTATATGACAGACATTTAGATAATTATGACTCATTGTTGGTGTAAATGTGAGAAAGCACTTGTGATTGGTAAAATGTAATTTCCATGTTGACAAGGTAATTTTTAGACTATATATATTATGGAAAGGTGGAATTTGAGTTAGGCGAGAATATAACTTCTTATAGACATGTGTTGTACTCTCGAAATGTTTTTGATCCCGTTTGAGTAAAATATCAATACTGTACCTCCAATATGTTTTATCTATTCACTTATATGATCAACGACGTTTATTGTTTCATACAAATGTTATTCTCAAATAATTAGAGCTCATTATATTAACAAAAAGTACTTTATAATAATAATAATAATAATAATAATAAAGATTACATTTATTATACATCATATTTATGAAGGACTCCAATTAAATTCAGGTTTACTAAAAACTAAACATATGAAGGTTATACATTAAACATCATTTTATTTATAATCTATCTACATAATGAACTTGACCTGATGTTTCAGCATTTAATTTACGTAAGTTGTTCAAATTTTTTACTTACTGTAATAAGAAAACATTTGACGATTGTTAGGTTAGTGAATGTAGTATGCTGATTAATTGATAAAATTCAGTGATAAAATTTGGTCGAGTGGTAACTACTGAAGAGATGGGGTTATTGACTCACACCTCTGAAGGAACTGGTATCAGTGACAAGGGAACTAGTCCAAATAATAAGCGTTTTTGTTTATCTAATCAAATAACGTCGGATACATACGAAATAATGAACACAAAAATAAATATAATTGGAGGTCAATTGAAAAGTGAGCAATCAAAACGTAAGGATTTCGTAGTTTACTTAAGTACTAACGAAATTAACACTTGTTCATCTCACTTAACTCGTAGACATGCAATCAAGTATACTTTCAAAGTTTATCATCACAAGTATCAGTTTTTTTGTGACTAATTCATAATTGTCCAGAATAAATTGTTACTAAAAAATGGTTAAGATTTCATGTAGTAGATTGATAAAATCAATGGGTGGATGATTTTCATTTGAATCCTAGGAAATTTTATTTATTTATTCATTTAAACATATATTGGTACAAGGAGGCACCAAATAGGCATGTGCCACATAAATCATTCGACTCGTGTGAGGGCTGGAATACCACCCTGGCCCCCAAACCGAAGCAGGTGGTCTTCTTGGGAGGCCACACCCGGAGCCTTCGACCTGAAGGTCTAATCCATAAGGCAGTGGAGCAGCGTAAGGAGTTGCAGGCCCATAGCTGGTGACCAATAATTGGTTCATACGCCACTTGTTTCCTCAGGATCCTGGAGCCCATGTGCACCATTGGTTTGGAATCAGGGTTTTCCAATTCCCTTAGGTGGATCCTCCGTATACACCAACCCGGTTAAAACGCCGGACATTCTCTTTTCATCCTCTCAATTTCGTAAATGACACCCCCACCGCGAGAAGGCAGTGAATAGGACTTCCCTGACAGTGGCTGTATGCATGTGTATCTAGGTAGCTGCGTAAGTGCTGGTGGTGGCGTGAGTGATGAGATCAATGCACGTATAGTGAAAGCCAGAGCGGCTTATGCCAATCTGGGCCGTCTTAGGCGCCTTCGTGACGTTAGTCTGGCTGTAAAAGTTCGGATCTACAACGCGTCGGTGAGAACAGTTTCGCTCTATGCTTGTGATCATTGTTGTCTCCGAAGGATTGCTGATATCTAGTGGCAACACCATGTCACTAATGCAGAGGTTCGGCATCGTGTGTTCGGGCACAGAAACGATAATTCAATTGGTGTCACCATCTTGAAACACTGACTTCGGTGGCTTGGACATGTTCTACGAATGTCGTCCCAGAGAATTCCACGTCGCGGACGCTGGGACTGGTTGGAAGAAGCGGAGAGGTGGTCAGTGTATGACATGGTGTAGTGGTATGAAAGAAGGCTACACAGGACTTGCTTCTGTTGGTCCTTCTCGACACCCTGGCTGAGGTCCAACGGATGATGCAACACAGTGGCTAGAGACGTTATCAGATATGGCCCAGAATAGAAGCCAGTGGTGATCCTGCTGTAACCTTCTTTTACTTTCTTCATAAAAAGTGACCGTAACTTTTTTAACTGAAATAATTCTTTCTGGTTGTACCTTTCCGTTTCCCCCATTATTATTATTTCACCACCATACACTAATTTGTGGTCGTTATTGTCCTTTTTTTACACTCACCTTACATTCTTTATCTCTTCCCATTCTCATTATGATTGTGTGGCGCATATGTATTTCGTACCCCCTTGTACCAATATTTATGTGTTCAAATAAATAAATAAATGTGGCCATGTGAGAGCATTTTGAGAGGGAGAGCTTTCGGCCATACCAGGGCATTTGGGGGCTAATAATGAAATCAAGAATATACGTTTCGTTGTATTTATTATTTATTAGCTGAGTGTACCGCGTTACCGATGTTGTCAAAGAATCATATCCACTAGATTACTCGATCTAGATAACTGTAACGTATTCAATAGGTATAATATTTTACTAAAGATTCTAGTCTCAATGGAACATCAACACTGGATCGCATGTAGATTTAGTTTTTAGAATCGCCACTTAGAGTTAGACGCACATCGTATATGGTAATGCTAAACACTTTTTATATTCATACAAAATCGTGACATTTGCTTAAGAAGCGCCCATATATACACTGACAGACATTAATTAATTAAGCTTTCAATATCCACCAGAAGGAAATAAAATTTTTTTTTACGAATAACAAAATGTATGCATAAGTGTTTTTTTAATCATTCAGTCGCACACATTTTAATCTACAACTCGTTGGCCGTGATAGTATAACGAATAATGATATAGAAATATCTGTGTTTTCAGAATATAAGCACTATTACTTATCAAAATCAGAGAGAGTGAGAATAAAAGCAGAATGCAGCAAAAGGACAGTTCATAGGTTTGGTTAATAAGTAATTCTTAATTAACTGATGTAAATCATTATTTACCAAGTAAACACGCTTTTCATACAATCAACTAATGGCTAAATAAACCGAAGCATTTAAACTTTATAATTTGGTGACTTTGAATCATAAAGTTTTATTAGTAAACCTTCAGTGCATTAGGGATTAAAATGGTATTCTTTGTTGTAAAGTGGTTGTTGATATTTTAAAATTGGGTTTCAGCTAGTTAATTAATATTCATTGTACAATTAACTGCATTTGCTTTCTTTATCTCTTTTTAACTATCAATGGATTTCTAGGTTATTTTTTGTATATTTTAAAAGAAATATTTAGATTGATTGTACTAGTAAATTTTGCTATGTATATATACATTTGTATATGTCCTAAACACAATAGATAGGTAGATAGAGTTGATTAGTTTGTATTTCACATAAGTCAATTAAAATTTTATTTGGAAATAATTATTGTTCACGATTATAATAATGTACGATAAATACTAATTAAGGTGCTTATTCACCTTGTCCACGAAATCTGTACGAGGTATGCACTCATGATCAATCTTTAGAAAAAAATTATTTAACTTTATGTCAGTAAGTCACCCTATATCAGAAGACAACAAATCCGTTCTCTGATGCAATTTGAAAAGGTATCAGTCGTTGAAATTCGGTCTACTGATCACAAGATTAGTTTCTTCACTTGCTTGAAAATTCTCAGATCTTGGTCTCGACCTTTAGATTACTGACGATCATTGGAGATTGTTGAAGGTTACCAAGAGTGTGAGACAAAGGAGGACAGTCGTTTGTGAATCAAATATGTTGACAGTTATTGTCCATAAAAGATAATGTAGATCACCATGAACATGTATTGTTCTCGTGTGCATTATAAGATAATGTAAGGTGTTACTCATGTAAAATCAAAACGTCCTTCATTGTCGTTCAGTAGTTTGCATCCTATTTTTACAGAATTTATTCCTATTCTGCATGTAATTAAGAGGTCAAACTAGGAATTGCTTTTGAAGTCCATTGAAGAAGAAAAATAGTATTAGTAAATGAATTTAAAAATATGCCGTATTTTAAAACCGAACTAACAAATATTTTATTTTATTCGTGAGTCGACAGATGAATTCACAAGTTCGACTACTTATTTTCACCAATTCTTCAAAGTTTTTAAATATGCACTGGACTGCAATAATCACTTAGAATATACTGAATATAAGCGATGCATATTTTTATCCATTGGATTATCATGCATCATATCTTATCGTCGTCGCCACCATGTTATGTGTTTTTTCTATGTATTTGAATCGTGTATCATTAAATACTAGTGGATTATTTTTGTGTAAATGTTATTCCAATTAGAACTAGTGAACTATACTGGATCAGTATCTACAAAATGATAGTGCGTTGTTAAAAATCAAACCAAATACCTTATTCTATGCATTTTTACTAACTTGGATGTTATCCAAATACCTGACTTTAGATCACAGATTAAAGTTACATTCAATCCCCTTCAAAATATTTGACCAACTATACAACTCTCATCTAATCGGTATTTTCCATAGTATGAATCACAAAACAGGATGGTATTTACAATTGTTTGGCATACGTTTAAGTTATCGGGTTCGGTGTTGTGGGTAGGTATTCGATCACCACTGAAGTCGGCGATCTTTTTGCTAAATAGTGGGTGGTCTACAATAAATAAAATGATGCAAAACCTTCATGAACTGAAACCCAGTAATAATCACCTAGAGTTACTCTCGTTCAAAACTTAAATTTGCACTCAACTGAGTCGAGGAAATTCTACATAAGGATTAGTTCTGGTGTTTAGCCTAAAATATTTACTAGACTCGTTCATTTACAATTCCACTCGCTAACTTAAGTATTTGGTACCTGTTTTACATTTCGTTTCAGTTTTGAATCAAACGATTCGTCCAGTTCTGATTTCAAAATTGAACGAAATTTATTAAATTCTTATTTAAGACGACTTGGTGGTTCAATTTTAACAAATAGTTTATCTTCACCCAATACAGAATCAATCTTGTCAACTAATTCTAGTTCGTTTTTATTTGAGCAATCGAGTTGTGGTCATACAACGAATTATACTACGTGTAATACATTACAAACACCGGAAAAAATGTTTTCTGATTCTTATCCTATGACACCTGAGTCAAGATTTAATGATCACGGAAGTGTTGAGTTTACGGACATTACTACTACTAATAGTAATAATAATAGTAGTAGTCATGAATTATTTAATCATGAACACCAATTAACATTAAACAATGATGATATATTGAATCATCACTGTGATGAAGATGATGATGAACAGATTTGTTCTGACTTGCAAAATTCACCTGTTTCTGGTCATTTGAAATCTTGTGCATATGAGTAAGTAACAAATGAATTATTTCTTTTGTTGTTGTACATGTTCCCATAATTTTTGTCTTTGTAATGTTTTTTTTTTGACAAATAAGTCTGTGAAACAATACATCCTCTGTTAATGCTGTTTAAAATCAACGAGTAATTAAGCCAATATTTTTGTTGTCCTGTTTCTTAAAGGAGAAGTTAAGGCTTGTTCATTTCATATCCTCATGTTAATTAGTATTACTTGCAAATACAACTAGAACTTTCATCATATCGGCATATGAATTGATGTAATCTGTATAAAGGATCATCGTGTTAATGTGTATCGGTGTACTTTTGAATATTATGTAATCGATGTAAACTATGGTTGAAAAGCACCCATGATTTATTCGATAAACACCACTTAGACACTAAATTTACATTAGAAAACAAGTCAAACTACGAATTTTATTTCGAGATATGTTGATCACCAGAACTAACACATGAAACTAGAAACTGAATGGAATCGAAAGCCAACCTACCCTGATTAAATCGTGAGCTACAAAATTGGTTATGTACGAAGCCTTCTCGAATTAATGAAGGTAAATTACGCCTGATCTGTGGGAGGATTATTGATATTTTTGTCTTTCAGATTCGAGGCTGGGATGGTAAGAAACGGTTTAAAACTCAGGAATAGATTCTAATAGTGTTGGATTCTTTTAGCTTTGAATATGCGACCTTACCGGAAGTCTGACTGTATATACAAATATATCCTAATATACTTATCAAACTCATTATCAATCACGAACTCATCTGGAAGAACAAACGGATGGATTACATTGTCCTACACAGAAAATATATCAGAGTCTATAATCAGATTAATTGAGGTATTTTAAAATTGATTTATGTAATAAGTCAACATAATCTCTATTCTAATATTATAAAATCCGAAGAATGAACAATGAAGACAAATTGTTTATTGGAGGGAAGGGACATTCGTCATCAATTCTTTTTACCAAGAATGTATATTCTCGCTTAGCGTTTAGTCAGAAATTACGAATTACTAAATATCTGGACTTAATTATATCTATTTACTATCTTTCTTCTTGTTAGTAATCCACTGGAACAACTCCCATCACCAATGACTACAGATATACTTTTTGAATTATGGAATAGTGTTGTGGAAGATACTTCTGGGCAATCAATGCTAACTACTAATACCGTCACCACTACTGGTTCTACTAATGTTGATTCGTCTAACGCACCTATGTACAATAATAACCACCATGATATATCCATTACAAATCCAAATGATTTATCAAATTTTTACTCAGTTCAAAGTATGATTTGTTGTTCAGTGTTTGCATATTTATTATTTTTTTCGTGTGTGTAATCTTTTCGTTTTCGAAACTACTTCATCATATTATTGAAGTTTGAAATGCGTTAGGTCAACAAGTTGTATAGATTGTCAGGTCCTGAAACATGCCGTTTTTTACCAGTAGTTTGCCATTTTTGTCATGAAAAGGGAGGTAACACGCCCTATTTATGTAAGAACAGAAGTTGCAATTCAATTAATCCATCTGCTAATTGGTTAGAACTAGATAGGTGGGAAGAAGTATGTTGATAGAAATCAATCATAGAATGAAACAAGTTACAATCGTTGATATTCAGTTAACTATTTAAAGCATAACTATATATACTCTCAGTAGTATCGATCATCATGAATAATAAACGGGGGAAATGCCCTATTTGTCTTATTTTTCTGAACTCTGTCTAATCCAAAAGGAAGGGTTGGCTTGTTTGATTATGTTTACAACTATGTGTTTTCACGTAAGACGATAAAATACAGAATTTCAAAACATTAGCAAACTGAAAAGAGGACGTTTTAAACAGCGTTAAAGTAAGAGCAATATAGTTTGACAGTGATATGTTAGCCAATTTTTTCGGTTGTAAAACGGTCATATTTAAAAGGTCTTTTGAGGACTTATTCATGATTTTCATCTCTAAAGTTTCACCAATTTATTCCATAGATGTTCAACTGTTGTTTATAGGATTAGTCATGCCCTTTGGAATGCGAGTGTGCATGAGCGTTTTTCGGTGTTATGAAAGACAGTATTTAATTAATAAGGCTGTCTTGAGAAACACTTTAACAAACAAAGTTTTCGTACTTTAAGTATGGAATATAGTTCCCATGACTTTTGACATGGTTAAGAAAAGGAGAGATTGTTAAATTTTTCGTGATACTTCATAATAAAAATCAACTGTGTTTAAATAACTATGTCGATTGTTGATTGTATAATTTGTTCTCTTATCGTGTTACTGTTTTATTATAAATATGCCTATAACAGGTAATAATAATACAATGAATTTTACAGATGCATCATATTATACAGTTAGAAATACAACCGATAACTATAAAAGTAGTGGGAATAACACTACTTCATTGTCTTGTTCTTTTATTTCTTCCTCTCCCGTTATTACGTCCACAACTACTACTACTACCACCACTTCTACTGCTAATACTACTCCATCTCCTATTCTCGCTTCTCCTCCTGCTGCCTTGATGAGATCAATAGCTTGTAGTACTGTTTCTCCGACTACTACTGTTCAATCGAATATCAATTATCCATCAATGGACAGAGATCAATTGCCCGTTCAGTTATCGGATAGTTTAGGAAGAATACCTGTTATTAACGTAAGGTGTAATTGTTGTGTGAATTTTATAGTAATGTATTCCCTCTTTTTTGTGTAGTTTCGTTGTTGTTGAGTACATCGTTAACTAGTTGAACGTTGTAAACATTTGAGATGATAGTCTTTTTTAAACATGCTACTAAACGGTATCTAGTATCATTTTAATCATTATAGATTTTGATTAAAATTTCCACTCTCCTTGTTTGGTTATCAACCTTGGAATGATATTTGAAGAATAATTGAGTTGAAAAAGCTCCTGGTAATGAGATCAGTGTCTTTATGTAGAGAATAAACGTGCTTAATTATTCGGAGTTTTAGATATGTATACTTTGATATGCCTCTTCTCCCTCTTCCCTGAGAATTCCAAGTTAGGAGTTGCCTTATGATAGAGTTTTCCACAAAATGTATCCTATCCTAATAATAATAATAATAATAATAATTACAGTATCTTTTTGTAATTTTCTTCTCAACTGGCGGCTGGTGTGCTCTCTACCGCAGTAGATTATTTCTGATGGTCTCTGGTTGATTGATCTCGAGTATTGTGCTTAGATAGCTGTTTATAAGTATCTGTACTTTTTCAATGATGTTGGTGGTAGTTTTGTGGTATACGTATAAGTAATATGTAACACCAGTCGGAAGTGGAATGCCTGTCAGCAGAAGATTGAATTGGAGAGAGCAGAAAGCGAAATAGAGGAATTGGAATGACAACCGAATTCAAAGAATGAAGAAGTATGTACAGGACAACTCAAGGAAGATGTGCAAATAGTGTATTTAATATACGATTTTCATATTTTACGAGAGTACTGTTTAATTTTGCATGTAATAAGAAATTGGTTTGCCCCACCTGAATTCTCGTTTACTAAAGTTCTTTAAGTTTCAATAGAACTGTCCCAACATTTGTGTTGAATATTTCGACTTTGGTGTTGGGTGATAGTTCATTTGGTTTGCATATGTTCTTTTCTTTTAAGAATAGGGAGAGAGTAAACAACCTTGTCTGATACCAAAATTCACTTGAGATTCATTTGTGAGCTTTCTTCCATTAATTGCCTTGCAATTCAGTTTCTTGTACAAGTTCCGTATGATGGTGACGATCCTCTTAGGCACTCCACATTGTCGAGAGAGATTCATCACTTTTCGCTATACATCCTGTCGAATATTTCCCAACAGTTGAGAAAATTGATGAATAGAGGTGAGTTTCATCCCATTGATCAACAATGATTTGGATTGTTGTGATTTGTTTGGCAAATGATCTATCCAGCTAGTCGTTCCCGAAGTTTTCATTTGGTTTAACAAAAACATTGATAGCTTCACCTGGCACTAACAGTGGTGCTATACCTCTGTTGTTCTCTTACTAAGATTTCGTGTCCTCGGTGTCTTGATGAGGTATCTCTGTTTCCAGTTTGTCGGTATTTGTTCTTCCTCGTAAATCTTTCTAAAGAGAATATGGAACATCTTTGCAGTTGCCTCCATATCTGAGTCCAGTGCCTCAACTGGTATGCTGTGTGGACCTGCCGCTTTAGCATTCTTGTCTTGTTTGATGATCCGCTGATTTCTTCCATCATCAGTTTGGTAACACTTATAGGGTGGTTTGTGTGTGCTGCTTCGATGTTCATTGTGTATAGTGGAGCTGGTTTATTCAAGAGTTCTTTAAAGTGTTCCAATTACCTGTTCTACTACTTTTGAATCTCAGTGATTGGTTTCCCTTCTTTGTTTTTTCTCGAATCTTGTACAGACTGTCTACAGAGATCTATAGTTTCCGCTGGTGATTCATGGGTATCAGCACCTGGCATGTTGTATTTATTCCTCCATTATCCCCTTCTATTTGGTCCTCATTGTGCTCCCCTGTTCCAGTAGATTTTGTAAGACTTGGAAAGGGTTGCTGGGAGCTACGTTCAATTCACCGATCTTGTTAACAGTTCGAGGGGAAGATTTTTTTACTAACTTTTGTGATGCTGTTTGTCTAACTGTACAACAGTTAGTTTGCTTTAGTTTTAGCTTAGTCACCACCAGCTTTATCAACTTTTATATTTGTTATTACGTCTTCCGTGGACCATGAACCTTCTGGACGTTTTATTAGTGCAAATGGGGTTGATCTATTTTTCTTTAGTGTGGTCCGGTAGAACTCATTTAGCTTCGTGCATGCGTTTGTGGGGGAAGCGGTTCCACCTATAACCATGTTGTTGAAAGCACATAGATTTATCATTCTCTCATCATTCTCGTTCCTTTTTCCCTAGTTCACATTACCCTATGATATCTTCTTACCCCGATGTTATCCATCACGACCTTGACGTATAGATTCCCCACTGGCGTGATCAGATCTCTTCTTGGACATCTCTTTGCGATGGACACCAGCCTCTCACGAACTGATCTTCGTCTGCGCTGCCATCATTGGTGGCATTCATTGTAACTTCTCAAATACTTGTTTTAGAGAATATTTTGATAGTCCTGGATATATGAGATTCCCAACCCTGAGCACTTTTCGTGCTTTTTTTGGAGCGAATCGGTGCAATCTTTTGTATGTGTGAGGTACTTTCTTCATAATCAGAATAAGACAGAGCGTCTCCCGAATTTATTATTTTGTGTCCAATGAGTTTCATGTATTCCAAGCAGAGCAATATTGTATTTTCTCATTTCCATTTCTACTTCAATGGTCTTCCTGGTCCAACACATTTTGAGAACATTCCATGTATCTCTATTGATTGTTGTTCTGATTGTCAGAATAGACATGGTCCTCGTGATTTCCAAAGAATATCAACTTTCATCATAAGGCGTTATAACTCTTCCATATAAAGAACCTTGAACACCCAGATCAGAGTCTAGATGGGATCATTAGTTTATTCTGGTTAGCATATTTTTGGTGATCTTCTGTTTTACAAGATGGAGTTCTTAATGCCATAAAGAACTTTCCTCCTTGGGGTCGGCAATAATTCTAAAAGTGCTCTAGGAGGAGTTTAATTACATTACTAGCTGATAATCATCTATTTATATTATTTTTTCATATATTATCATTTATGCAATTAGATCCCTTTATGAATTTAAATAAAGCCCGAACAAACATGGATGCAAAATAATATGAATTCATCGATGGTGGAGATTTGTAGCTCCAGGTGGATGAATTCATTATATTTCGTGGTTTCTCATCAGCTGCTTATAACCAGATATATGTTAAAATTTTACATTGAGGTAAGATATAGTGTGAATCAATTGACATAAGTGAATGAAAAGAATTAGAATGACAAAGGTTGTCAATAATAATTATAACTATATATATATATATATATATATATATATGTGCAAGAATAGGTCGGTGGTCATTTGGTGTTAGAATAAAAAAATATGAGGGGTGAGTAATGTAATAATTGAGTGAACTTCAGAGTCAGATAAGGTAAATTTTGTGATAATTTTAGAGGTAATGAAGGATTTACACAAGATTCCTGGAATTAAAAAAACTCTTAGGATGGGTTGCGTAGTAATTGAACAGAATTTGAAGAATACATAATTTAAGAAAACTGAGTTAATGGAAGTATATGAGTGAAGGGATGGTTTTAATGTACATAAAATAAGAATTCGGTAATGGAAGAGCGATATAACAAAATAAAACTAATGACCAAAAAAATGAATTATCAGGGTAGTAATAAGTTTATTACTATCTCTTTTTGGATACATAGATCGGATCGCAATTGCTTCGGCAAACCGAAGAGAAACTGTGTTTCTTTATCTGCTAATAATTTTGAAAGCTTGAAGAATGTTAATGCCCTGTGTCAAGTAGATGCCGAGCTAATTGCACTACTGAGAACCCTTCCTCCTCTCAGTTTCAATTTCTTTGGAATATGCTCGGAAGTGCGAACATATACTCTTCTCTCGGTTCGTCCAATGTATGTTCTTTGGCATGTACATATAAATTGGTAAATGCAGTTGGAACTGCCGAGAAAAGAGGACCTCTCAATTTTAGTTTATTTGAACGAGCAGTTCGTTTCCCATAGCATGGTCAGTTTTGTTGATGTGTAAACCACTTTCAACGCGGAATTTAGCTTGTGATTAATTATTCCAGTGATTTCATCTCTTTTGAAGCGCAAGTATAAGAAACAAGTTATTTTCAACTGTATCGTATTTAGTCCGAGGTTTTGTTTTGGCATATTTTTGAATGAACTTCGCCGGATATAGATTTTCACATATGCAATTTGTAATGAGAGCAATTTCATCTTCCAGGTATTCCTTTGAGCAAATTTTGCGTGCGCGGACAAAAAGGGTTCGTACAATACACTTTTTGTATCTCATTGGACAGGAACTGTTGTAATTGAGATAAACACCACTCCAGGTATTTTTGCGGTGAACGTGTCTTTGTAATGTACCGTCTGAGGTTCGTCTGATTCCAATATCTAAAAGATGGAATATACCTTATACTTCGTGTTCTATAGTAAGATCTATGTCCTTGTGTGCTTCGCTAAACAGATGGAGTAGGTTCATGGAATGCTTTTGATTGTTGCAGACGAGAAATGTGTCATCAATATATCTACATTTAGGAAGCAATTTCCTACAGGTTTGATTCTGAGCTATTCCCTAGACCGTTGAATACAGAGTCTTGGTTTGGTCAAAGTCCGAACAAACAAGCTATTTGGCTAGATAAACTTTATCTCTTTCTAAAACATAAATTAACATCGTTAGTGTACAAACAAACAGTACGGTCTATTAATACAGGGAAAAACAGAGACAAATAACATACCGAACAGTAGCCAGAGAATAGTAAAAATGAGTCAACAAAGCAAATATTATAAGCAAAGATGGATAGTGGCTAGCATAATGCTTGTAAATTAAGGCAATATCGAGGCATACGCACAGTATGCACATATGCCAATAACAGATTGATCAATTTCAGTCCTAAAACATCAATGGGAAGATTCAAGTAAAACAATATCAAGTGAATTAAAGCAAATATTGTTTTACGGTGAACATCAAACTGTGATTGGTTAATAAAGAGATACAGTCGCACAAGGTCAAAGGGAGTTAATGTGGTGGTGGGCGTTTCACTTTATTATTGATGGGTTCGTCTATCGACCACATTTTACACTACAGTAGAGTATAGTTCCATCGTTTGCTTGCTTGAGCTTCCTGTGTTTCAGGTTTCCCATAAATATGTCGGCCAGAATTGGACTCAAATAGCTACCCCATCAATGTGGCGGTACAACACACTGTTAAATTGAAATTGTATATTTTTGGTACACAGAAACAGGAGCTTTTTGAATTCGTGGATTGGTAAAGACAGAAGGTTAGGATATTCACATATTATACTTTCGTTTCTTCCAAAGGGATCTTTGTGAAGAGTGATGAGATATTAAACGAGATCATGAATTTGTCGAAAGCATTTAGACTATCAATTATTACATCACTCACCCCTCATATTTTTTTATTCTAACACCAAATGACCACCGACCTATTCTTGCACATATATATATATATATATATATATATATATATATATATATATATATATAGTTATAATTATTATTGACAACCTTTGTCATTCTAATTCTTTTCATTCACTTATGTCAATTGATTCACACTATATCTTACCTCAATGTAAAATTTTAACATATATCTGGTTATAAGCAGCTGATGAGAAACCACGAAATATAATGAATTCATCCACCTGGAGCTACAAATCTCCACCATCGATGAATTCATATTATTTTGCATCCATGTTTGTTCTGACTTTATTTTTATTATCATTTGTTTGTTTATTTGTGTCTTGCGTACTTTCTAACTTTTATTTATTAATTCCGTTTATTTTTTTGATTATTGTAGCATCGTTCATCGCCATCTAATTTACAATCTAATAATTTTCTACATTATCCAACTTTTAATTCTCAAACATTTATCCCGTCATCCAATTCATTAACTCCCACTACTGCTTCTACTATTATGTTCAGTAATCATGGAAATGAAATGAATCCTCAATTCCATCCGTTATTATGGTCTAATTTATCTCATGCAGCAGATAGAATTTTATCTGTCAAGAAAGGTAGTTCATCAAATGTGTTCAGTACTACTACTGATCATATTAATACTAATGATAAACGTGTCGGATTTCTACATTGTACTGATAAATCATCATCTCACTTATGTTCAATGATAAATTTCGGGTCGACTTCACAAAATCATATACGACAACCAACTACAGAATTTCTAACGGATATTTTATTGACATCGTCGTCATCATCATCGTCATTCAATAATAATCCCAGCTTAAGTGTTGGTGAATTAATGGATACAACAACAACAACAACCAATACAGATTTTTCATCGATTTTATCATTTCCTGTTTCATTAAATTTAAACTGGTCAATAGGTACTTAATTGCACAGGTTGTAATGATGACAGTGATGAGACCTATTCTTTCTGTTATGCTTGTTGTTGTCACCTTATTAATGTCCAATCAAATTCACATTTAATTGAGTTCAAACCAATGATGTCTTTCAATGAGTTTATTTACTTACATCCATGTGATTCTGATACTCTCTCTTTCTCGGTCTCTCTTTATGTGTATTTGTCATTCGAGAGTACATTCGTAATATGTTTTTATTTTTATAGTTACATTACAAATAACAACTCTATATTATTTTGGCTTGAATTAGTTGTTTCACGTTATTCTTCTCTCTTCCCCTTATCCTTTGTAATTTTTCTTTTTATTATGACAGTTGAAATATCTTTATTTATCTATAGGAATATATATCAACATTTGTATGTAAATGCTACACATTAATTTATCAATGAGTCTTTTGAATCAATTTTATTTAAACATTTTGATCTGAATAAATGCTGATTGTTATTTCTGCTTCAATAGGTATATTTATTTATTGTACATTTTAGTGCTTACATCTTGTATAAAATCAATAAAATATACCATATTGTTAACGATTCCACAAACTTGTCGCTATTATAATTTACACTATTTATCTTTTTGCTCTAAGTTTTGTACATGTCTATAATGTGAATAATAGTTATGATTAGAATTGTTATTTTCGTGCCTTATCGAATTATCAGCTTATATCCATCTATCTATTTAATCTCTGTGTATATGAAACTTTATTGTAAATGTTTAAGGTATTTCTTTTTTCCTGTTTCTATCGCCTTTACTGTTCTCATTGTTCAAAATTTCGATACTTAAAGCATCTCCGTTGGCAGTTGTTGTTCAGACTGGTTATAAGATTGAAAGGAAGAGAAAGATAGGGGTCGGTACAAAATTCCTTGTTCATATGTTATTTTACTTTATCTTAATTATAACAATGGTGATTTTTGTTTGTAGGAAAAAAAGAACCACTTCAGCCCCACACTTGTTTGTATTTATGTATATTCAATTGTTTAGTGTTAGCATCAATATTAATAGTAATAATATTGTAATTTATTTAGACTAACCATTATTTTCCTAAATATATCTTGTTTCCCTTTATTTTCATTTTGTTACCTATTCAAAATTGTACTTTTACGACAGCTTGTTTCTGGTTGGCGCAACTAATCAACAAGTATATGTTTGCGAAAAAGAACGCACACTAATGAATTGCATCATACACTATTTTCAATTAAAAATACACCCAACGTATGTAATACTTTCTTGTTATTTTAATAATATGATACTTTATCCTGTTATAGTGATTTACTGCATCACTTCAGAATTATGTACAAAATCAGTATTTTATAAACTGGTCCAGTAAAATTATTATTTGTCATTCCTACAACTTTTTCTCCTACGTGTATGTATATATGTGTGTTTTTCACACTAAAAGTGTATAACGACTACCTCTTTTCACTTTTTTTGCATCCATTTAAATTGTTTGCTTTCAGTGAATGTATGAACTGAAAACAAGCTTACATTAAATCACAATAGATGATAGGGTCATTCAAAGTAATCTGATATTTTACTTTGAATTGCTTTCAAAAAATTGTTTCTTCTTTTTCATTGTGTAATATGTTAGCTATGAGTTTCAGATAATGTCCGTTTAATTTGAACAAGTCCTATTAAGTTATTGGAGATAATCGACAGGAAGGTCTGAGCTTGGGTTTCATGTTCGTTGGAATTCATCGTCCACAAGGCCAGCCAAACTGGTTAAAATATATTCATTCAACTGCTTGGTTACGTCTTCAACTCTAATTCTTACATAGCGGAGTTTTATAATAAACCGATTACATAATCTTAGCTTAGAATTTGCCTTTACATCTGTGTAGCTTCTAAGTAATTACTACTTTAGAGGAAGCATTGCTTAATTGATCAACCAAAATTAATTTTTTATTGATTTGATTATTAACTGTAAAGCTTATACTATTCGTAAAGAGCCTTGATGAGGAACTGATTAAAAATATATTTCTTTACTCAACTTCCGTTTTTAGAGGTTTATTTAGGTGAGAAAGTAACCACCAAAGTATTAAGTCTTCTCACTTTTATATAATATTCTGAATGATACTTAGCAATGGGATAGTAAATGTACATACGCAAATGCACCTATCACCATTGATTTATTCAGTTATCACTCGACATGTCAGGGTGTATGTTCACTAGAAAATAGGATTAAACTATACTAACGAGCAAATCCGATTTTAGAGTGCCTCCAAGAGTTTTGAACGGAATTCGAAGTTCAATGAGTAGTACTCTTTATTGAGGACTAATTAAAAATTGTCTATATCTAGTTACTAAAATACTTAAAATGATCTTTCATGCAACTACAAAGTGAATGTGACTCATTGCGCAAGAGATGCCTGCTGATGGTACTTTATGAGATACAGGAGATAGTCAAGGAGATTTGTATAACACAAAACTGTTCTTTCACTCTAACTCCTAACCTTAACCTTCAGAAGTTTATAAACAGTAGGGTGGAACTATAATCTTTGAAATATCTAATGAGACACAAGATAGGTCCTTTTGAATTTTCACCCAAATTTCACTCTTCCATTTATCTATACAAAGCGTTCTTGCATTATGGGATGGGTTTTCGAGCACCTATCAGTGCGGTAGATGCTACTGAGATCCAGTGTTTTTCCCTAACCTTGTGGTTTACCGTAATAGCAGGTATCGCCGCTGTTTCCACAGCTTTTTGGATGTCATTCCACGCTGCCTCAGGGTGGGCATCACTTAAATGACGGCCTAACAGATTTTCTAGTTGTTCCTGGAATATATTCTTAGATTGGCTATCATTAAGTAGGACCCTAAGCGATATCCTTACAGCGTCTTTCCTACGTTCAGTAAGACTCAAAAAAATACGTACTCACACTACGACATGATCTGAATATAAGCATGTGCTACAGAATGAGCGACAGCCTCCTGTCGAGCCCCTCCATCGGTGGATGATAGCAATATGATCTATTTGGGTCCAACGTTGGGAAGAATTCAGAAGTGTAAGTAATAATAAATTAAGAATCTATATTTTCTATTGTTGAATTTAATCAGTCGGTTTCGTTTATGAATGGGATTCCATAACAAGCCACTGCTCATGTGGATATAAGAATTTATAGCTCCGGTTGATGATTTTCGATAGAGTTTCGTCGGACAACCGAACTATCCAACTCGGAGAACAAAATCCCTCAGAAAAATCTCTCCCCAATTTGTTTTGCTTATCAAACACATTTTAAAGGGATCGATCACCTTAGTTCTCAGAGTAGATGTCTACTGAGGATCAGGATTGCAGTGAGCTTTCATGCTCCCTAAGTCAATTATCGTGTATAAAACAAAAGCTTATTCAGATAATCTAACTTGGATAACGAACCTCTTTTGGTAAATGGCATTTGTATTTAACCTTACCTGTGGTAACATGTACGTAGGAAGTACATATAAGGTATTTTATAGAAGAATCTCGAACTAAACACCAAATAACTCCACATTATCGAACAGTGTAAGAATTTATTTCTCTTCAAAAATACTTCACAAATGTTCAGTGAATTTCATGCTAATCGACACCTGATCGTTAACATATATCTTTTTTAAAGTTAGAAATGTCATACGAAGCATTCTTGACTAATACATATTCCGGAAACATTTTCCTCTGTGTTCATTTGGAAAACTAAATTATCTTTTGCCTCACAAATTACCGATGTCTGTGATATTAAAAACCAAACTCTTAGTTTTCGCTTAATATTAATCAGATGAACAAGCGGAATTCGGTAAAAGGATTTGATACGATTTCATTATTAAATAATGTACGATAACTGGTTGTTATTCCAATGTACAGAAGACTTAGTTTATAATTGAGAATCTTAAGATTTTTTTTCACTTACTGGCAAAACAGATGAAGATAAAACTTTGTTGCATAGTATTTATCGGTTTAGACTCTCAAATAAACCTCCTTCCTTTTAAAAACTTTCGGTTAGTCTTATTAACAACATTCATATCGTTGACATGGCTTTAAACGTATAATTTCTTGAAGATAACTCACTTATTAGTCTATTTAAATGCAAATACTACTGAATGTACAACTTTATACTCCCGTCATGCCATCAAGTGATTCCATATATCGGTCATTTGCATCCAATCTATCTATATTTTAAGTTTGTTTGTAGAATATTTATTGGCAAAATGATTGCAGTTGTTTCATTAAGTCATAGATTTTTCCCAAAACACTACATTCCATTGAATGCATAATTTGTAAGTACTTAATATGCCATTACTACGTTTATGAGTACAAAATCATATCACACAATGATTTTTAATAACACATTTATTACTTCTGCACTATTGTAGATATAGTTGCTATTGTGTTCTGTGCTTATCACTTTTACAAATTACTTCTGTTGAATTAAGTTTAATTAAATTGATTATATTCATTTGAATCCAATTTATCGGTTGTAATAGTATAGTCAAGTACATGTTAGGGTATCTCGCCTTCAGCTACATTTTAGTTGTTTGTGTGTGTGTTTGTGATACCTACCTAACTTCTCTAATACAAGGAGATGGAACACGAGGTTCAAACCTGAAACATAAATGGTTGAAAGTTAACTGTATTCACAATTAATCAAATTGCAGCACTAAAATACTTTTATATTTATAATGCCCTAATGAATAGAAAATCGGGTTTCTGACGTTTCACAACTTCGTGTAAGGCGCATCTTCAGAGAATAAATACACGAAATAAATGAACGTAAGTTTAATTACTAGTAAAGAACAAGTTGTATATTTGTTACAAACCAAACGAGACTGATCATGTCATTCAGGTCAAGGTGACATATTTGTGTGTATCAGTCTGGATATGAAAAATGTGATAATTGTAATGAGAAAGAGTAGAGCTAATTAATATGTGTATTGATGGTGTGAGATTTGAACAAGTTAAATCTGATTTTGAAATCCCACATCATGGAATGACTTGAGTTCGACA